GCGGCCCCGCCCCGATCGTCGCGGCCCCGCCCCTCGACGCGGCCCCGCTCTACGTCGCGGCCCCGCCCCGGCCCGTCGCCGCCCGTGCGCCTGCCCGGCTCGGCCCCGCCCTTCGTCGCGGCCCCGCCCCGGCCCGTCGCCGCCCGTGCGCCTGCCCGGCTCGGCCCCGCCCTACCTTCGCGGCCCCGCCCAACGTTGCGGCCCCGCCCTATGTCGCGGCCCCGCCCTACGTCGCGGCCCCGCCCTATGTCGCGGCCCCGCCTCGACCGTCGCGGCCCCGCCCCTCGTCGCGGCCCCGGCCCCGTCCCCCCCCCCCCCCCTTTTCTCCCCTCCCCCCCAATTCCCGTCCCCCGTCGCGGCTCCTTCGGGGGCCGCTGTGGGGTGGCAGGTATGGGGGTGGCCAGTGTACTTTCCTCCCTTTGCTCCTCCTCCTCCTTCGTCTCCCACTGCTGCAGCTGTCGCTGAGGGGGGTGGTTGTGTGGGAGACTGGGTTTAGGGTTTTAGGGGGGTGCGTGGGAGTAGAGCTAGTGGTGTAGCAGTGGGTGTGTATCAGGGGGGTGGGACTGTGTGCGGGAGGATGAGCGGAGGTTGCCAGTTTGTCGTCAGCAGCACCTGTAGTCCGGGGCGCTGTCCCGGTAGCCCAGTCGTAGCCAGCTGTGCCAGCCGCCCGTGGGTCCGTTGCCCGTCCGCCGCTATTTGAGCCGCGGGGCCTATTACTCCTGTAGTCCGGGCGCTGTCCGGTAGCCGCTGTGCCAGTCTGCCTCCTGTTGCCCGTGTGTCTGCAGCTTCAGCCGTCGCCTCCTGTCTCCTCTCCCCTCACTCTCCCTCCTCCTCCTCACTTGCCCGTTGTGACTACCACTAGCTTTGCTTATAATTGTTAACTTTGAACTATTTCTTCTTGACCTTGTGCTCAGAATGCGTGGTGACATTGTGATCCACCCTGAGCTTGTACTGTTTTGCCTGCTCTGCTGATTACACCCCACTTTGGCTATGGGGGTGTGTCAGAATATTATTCTTATGTTCTAGCCTGTAGTGGGGTGCTCTATAGCGAGTACAACCCTTCTAGGGTTTGCTATTTGTATCCCCATTTCTGCTAGTTCATTCCCCTTTCTTTCTTATAACTTTTGACACTTCTCCCAATGCAGTTACCTTCATAACAAGGGCATGACTGATCGGTAGGTTCACGTTGTTTACGTTTGCTGTGTTGGCCTTAATTTGCAGCGTGTGCTACTGTGTGCAGAACCTTTGTCCTGCTTGAAATAAGATACCGTGTATCATTATTGGATTATCATTTTGATGTGTGGATGTTGTTGTGAAGAAATGAGGAATCGATGAACTAGGAAAGAGGTGGGTACAAGTAGGAAAACCTAGAAATCTTGTACCCCATATTGTCTACCCCACTACAGCCTACACAGGCTATAGCATATGAGTTTGACACACCCCCATAGGCAAAGGAGAACAAGAGGTCACAAGACCAGTCAAGCAAAGCAAAGCAAGCTCAAGGTGGATCACAACGTCACCACACATTCCGAGCACAAGAGCAAGGCCACAAGGCCAGTTCACATGCAAGATCATATATAAAGGTAAACAAGCAAGTGCAGGTATAGAAAGATCACGTACAAGCAAGGTCAAGAAGTGAGCAAGTGAGGCCAAGTAGGCACAAGACCTAGCATCGTACAGAAGCGTTGATGATCACAAGGCAGAAGTGCCTTGGTACAGATATCAGCAGTGTTGGCCTCAAAAACCACGTAAGCAAGGCGCAGCTGACCACGCGGCTGCAGCTCACGAGCAAGGAAGTAGCGAAGAGCAATGTGCTTCGTTCTCTGCTCCAGTCTGTGCTCCCGACACATGGCCAGCATGGCCTTGTTGTCTACGTACAGAACTAGAGGAGAACGAGGCGGCTCTCCTAGGTCAGTCAGCAGGTAGGTGAGCCAGCGTAGCTCCTCTGCAGACATGGCCCCCGCGTAGATATCAGCCTCACAGCTGGAGCCAAGAACAGAAGACGAGCGGGTAGACCGCCACGAAAAAGAGCCGGAGCCAAGGCTGAAGATGTAACGGAAACCCGCAAGGTGCGCTCGCTGCGGTACCGCCTGCTGACCCGCCTGCTGCGCGAGCCGGTGGAGGTGGAGAGCGAGAGTGGCAGGGGATTCCTGGATGGGCGCACGGAGGACTACATCACCTCCGATATTCACTCCGCGGATTGCATGTATGCCGCTGCATGGCGCAGGGAGGAACACGAGAGCAGCGATGGAAGCGATTTCATGTGATGAGGGATTGTGCTGTGGAGTCACTTTTGGGTAAGGGTTTAGGAATATTAATCACCTTGTACAATGGTCAGGTATACAAGATAGCCTACTTAAATCAATAAGCATGCAGCTATAATGGCATGCCATATACAAATGGGAAGTTCATATGTTCCATGGTTTTTAGTTGTACGTATTATTGTGTGACATTAATTGTTCTATAAGCTCTCCTGTCCCAAGTCGGAACCAACTCAGTTAGAAACAAGTGCAGTGTGCATGCGTATTAGGGTCCATGTATTACTCCTATGGATCTGACAATCAAATGTTATAGAAAGTAATTTATGGTAGATATCCACATTCATGGTGCATTACTGGCCAACCACTCCCTCTTCCCTCACTCCAATCTCTCTCCTTATCCTTCATGCCTTAGTAGACATTAGGCATGATATCCACCCTTCACTCGTCACCACTGAATTCTCTGACGCAATGTGGTACACGCAGCAGCTTCCCTTGGCTTGGCCATCCAAAAGGGCTAAGAACCTCGACGACCTTTCCTCCGGCAATGCTTGCGGCGAAGTCGCCCGCAACTATCTGTCTGCCAGCAGCATGACCCTGTGGCAATTTCCACCATTCGATGTGGCCTCGTCCAGCACAAGCGCAGGTGAGCACCACAGCAGCACACGCACCAGACACTGCAGCTGCCTCTGCCCCGCACTCAAGGCCCCCCTCCCCCTCCGCCATCGCAGTGTCGAGCTGACCTGGTAACCCCCTCATTACACCCCACATCCCCTTGCATCCCTCCTCCCTTGCCCTCCCGCGCCACTTCCAACTCTCCCGTGCCCTGCTACGGCACTGTGGGATCAAGGTACCACCAAATACTGCCGAAAAAGTCCACCGCGTCTTATGGCACCGCTGGGAGGTGAGACATAAGTCCCACAGCCCGATCACTATAATCTATGCCTTTAGATCCACTATTCGATACAATGACATGGTTAGCAATGCCCCTGCACCCACACACCCCCTTTTTTTAACAAACCTGGGCCAAGAAGATGAGTCCTTTCAGGATGAAGGGCAAAGCTTGGCGGTACCTCACCACCACTTTTCCTCTTCTTACACTCCTTGACGCGGAAAGTCCACAGGCAGGCTGAGAGTTTCGACACATACAGTGGATCCTGATCACGTCCCCCTATCTTGGCACCGCAATAGATGGTTTGGGAGGCACTTGTCTCCTATCGTCGCGTTGCTACGTTTGCAAGGGCATACTTCAGCCACTGGGAGCTCCATGCCTAGGCGAAGGCCGAGGGCCAACGAGAATTCACCAGGGGAAATGGAGAGGTCAACTCTCGTTGGGACCGCATGCAGCCAGTCTCCCGCGCCCGTCCCTTTCAGGCTTATCAGCCGCAGCGCATGGCCTCTGTTGGAGCCGGGCCGGTCCACCACTGTGTCCCCTAAGAGTTCCACCGCCCGATGCTGGTTGATGAGCTTGGAGAGGCACAGCTGGAGGCTGCCTGCGCCCTTGCTCCCTGACCTGTAGGCTCCCAATGCCACCTGTACTTGCGCCGGCAGTCCCTCCTCCAGGTGGGTCAGTGTGTTGATGTCCGGGACGGTGGTGACCAATTGTGGGAGATGAGGGTAGTTGCTCTGTGTAGCAAGCAGTCCGGGGTAAGTTTAGGTGCTGCAGGAGGGTATGTGTCGCTGTGATGGAGGCGATGTAGGCAGCCGGGGCCTCCGAGATGGGGTCGATGATGCCCAAGCCGCCGAGCCGAATCAGAAGGGTAGCCTGGCGCCATAGTAAACTCAGTTCTAGCTTAGAAGTTGGGATGCGGAGCTTTGCGGCCGTGAGTGCCGAGCCGACCAATGCCTCACTCCATTCCCTCCATTCCTCGGTGCTCAGGGTCGTCGCCGGTGTCGTCCACAGCATGTAAGAGATGCGGCGGGAGATGATGCGCGAGACGATCAGCATGACGTGTTGCGGGTTGAGCCGAGCAACGAGGGAAAGTGGTGAGGCGGCTTTCTCCAAGGCGATTAGACGTAAAGGCAGTAGGAGTTTCCTCGCGTTGGAGTCCTAGAAGGTGTTGAGCAGCTGATTTACCACCTTGACAAAAAACAGCAGCAACTCTTCGTTAGCTAAGGCGGGGTCTCTGAGGTGCTCGAAACAACTGCTAGAAGGCCTAGCACCAACACCGTTTGGGCACTTCACTGGGATTTCGCGAAGCGAGTCCAGCGAGACTGCCAGTTCAAAGTGTGTGATTCCTGTAACCCAAGCTGGTATCAGAATTCCCGCCATAGGGCGTTTCGTTAATAGGGCTTCGAGAGTAGCCGGCGTTGCTTCAGCGAGAGGACTTGTTCGCAACGTTGCTACTGCCTTCCAGATATTTCCTTTTTTCACCAGCCCTTCAGCTCTGACACAAACTCCGTCCTCGTCTGCTTGGTGTCGTTTGAAGGCTCTTGTGCTGCGGATGACCCCTGCTTCATTGAAAAGCTCGGCCCAGTCACCTCGTTGAAATTTGTGCAGCCGTGTTTCAATTGCTGCCAGAGACTCCCCAAAACAGGTTCGAGTGCCGGCCTAAGGGTGAGCCTTGGCAGGAACAGCATCACCTTCCATCCACCTGGGCAGCTAGGATTCTTGTCTAGGCGAATGAGCGTTGCCAGCATGCACAGACAGTATCTGTCCAGGAGTTGTGGTGGCAGCCGGCGGACAAGAAATGGCTGGTCCCCCCTCTGAAGCACGTCGACGTTCCACTCCCCCGCCATGTGCTAGATGGCATCGTCGCCTGCCAGGTCTGCCGGTGAAGGCACGTCCGTCTCCTTCGTGGCAGTATCTCCTTGTTCCACCCTATTTCTTGGAAGACCCGTCGCCGCCTCCCTTGCTTGGGGTTCTGGGTTGTTCCTCCTGGGTGTGGACTCGTCATCCAGAAAGATTTCCTTTGAGGCCTCCTCCTCTCCTGCCATAAGTTCAGGTCAGCTCCGGAGTGGTCACAAGCCTCTTGGTCCTCGTTCCTCTGCGGGATCACTCTCTCAGGCCTGGCGTGACGCTCCCGCCAGGGGCCAGTCCTCACGGGGATCTTCGCTATGGGTGCTTGGTTCCGCCCTCCCCTTTCGCCTCTCATCCTCCCACGTAAAACCCGTCGGTGTGCCCGTCCAGCCGCTCCTGCTGTATCTACCGCGCCATTGCTGCCGCGACCTGCTGGCATCCACGGCGTGTGTCCGCCTCGTGGCGGGCCCCAGGTGATCGCACCAAGCCATGCCGAGCGTTTGGTGCCCGCAGCTGCTGTAGTGTCCCTGCCAGCTCCCCATGGCGTCGTCGCCGCTTCCTGTGCTCCCCCATTGCCCCCGCCCGGATTCTCCGGCGCCTGTGTCGTTGGTGTGTGCGTAGCTGCCCACGCGGCGGCTGATGGTGCGGGCGCGCAACCTTGGGATGGCGACCGTCGCTTTGGCTCTCATGGCAGTTGCCCTTGCAGAAGCCAGCCTAGGAGGGGTCCCAAGATACCAGGTCCCAGTCCAGCTCCGGGCCGCCTCGGCGCTGGCTGGGCGCGAAAGATCCTCCCACCCCTCCCACGAGCGGTGTGCGCAGCGGCTCCGGTCCCATGACCCATTGTACCACCCGCCCTCCGGTTGTTCCCGTGCGTGTCTGCACCCACGGCAGCAGCAGGCGTTTCGGCGGACTCAACGCCAGCCGCCACGCCTCCCTCCCCTGGGCTCGCGTCCCTTACCGCCGCAGCAGCCGTCTCAGCAGCTGCCGGTGCCTCTTCCCGCGCAACCGCCGGTCCCCGCCCCACAAACCGCGGCACCGTTTCCTGGAACGAGGCAGTGTGTGAAGCTGAGTCGCCGCCAAAAGCAGCAGCATTCCCGGCAGCCCCCTCTGTCTCTACCTCAAACCCCGCTGCCGCAGTTGCTGATGTCGCCACCTCTGCCGCCCCTGTCTCAGCCTCAGCGCCCCCTGTCGGTCCCCCAGCAGCCGTTGGTTTCGCCACCCGTGCCGTCTCCATCTCTCCAGCCACAGCAGCCGCCTCGGTCTCCACAGGCAGCGCGGCCCCAAGCTCAGCAGCATTAGCAGCCTCAGCCAAACCAGTTCCCGCTACCCCAGCCTCAGCTGCATCACCCGCCGCCGCCTCCTCCATAGGTGCTGCTAATTCCTCCCACCCCACCAGCTCCCCGTGATGCTGCCTGTGTAGCCGCGATGCCTCTCCACGTCGAGCAGCGTGTAATGCACGTGGGGACGTGCCTTACGCTGCTGTTATACGTCCTGGATCAGCTCCATATGTGCCTCGCGCTCCAAGGTGTCGAGGTTGGGGGGGTGTTACCGTCGGAGCAGGCAGCAGCGGTGTCAGCGGCAACGGAGATGTTGCATTACCGCCCCCTGATCGGCCTTGTCCCGGGCGCTCCTGGTGCTGCGCTCGGGCTCGGCCCCGTGGCGATGGTGCGGCTCGCTGAGTCTGCCCGTGACGCCCCCCTTGGCCTTGTATCAGCAGCCGCATCCGTCCCATGCTGGATGGATGGGAGGCTGTGCTGGATACTGGCCGAGTAGCGGGCGTTTTCCTCGTGCCGGCCCCCTTGGTGGCAGGCTTGGCCTTGGGCTTCCCCATGGTGGTTACTCCACGCATGGGGGTGTTGTTGTTGTTGTGTGCTCTCTCTCTCTCTCTCTCTCTCTCTCTCTCTCTCTCTCTCTCTCTCTCTCTCTCTCTCTATCTCTCTCTCTCTCTATCTCTCTCTCTAATGGTCAGTGTATTGATAGAGCTTTGAAGGTACAAACATGCATGGTATATAGTGCAAGGTCTAGCTAACCAGATTGACAACCAAACAAACATGGCAAACCAAACACGCAACTACCACACAACCGCCTTCTCTAGAGCTCCAAAAAAGGCTCAACCACCGCAAAGCAGTCCCCAAGGTGCATCTCTTGCCCAATGCCTCCTACAGGAGGGTTTTCTGGTGCCGCTGCCTCTCCTAGCTTAAGGAGGAGCCCCACGGACTGGGCCCTCTGAAGAGCCATCGACCATCTCTGACGGAACTGGTGTAGGAACTTGGCGGCATAGAATGATTTTGAATCGGCGTTGAAGTGTCCCCGAGCCGCCGTGTCCGCTAGGAGTTTGAGGAAGGTCGGTACCTCTGCACATGGGCAACCATAGGTGTCTACGGCTAGCGGGAAAAAGCCAACCGTCTCTGGTCGGTTGGCGTAGTGCTTAATCTTTTTGTCAGCTTGCTCCCTGGCCGCCCACCCTCTGCCTTTTTGTGCCTCTGGATCCCTGGTGCTGATGGGATCCGTGACCATGACGTCACAGATATAGACCGCCCCACTGCGCCTCTCGTGGACCAACAACTGTGATTTCGTCAGCGTATGCAACGACATTGACCTCGGTGAAGGCCATCGCGACGTGAAGCAATATCGGTTGTATGGTGACGGCAAACAGTAACGGGATGAGGGGATCGCCTTGACGAACTCCCCTTGTACTGCTGATACTTTCCTTAGTAAACACTACATCAAGCTGTAGTGCAGAAGGGCCATCATAGAGGTTCCTGAACAGCAGAATCAGCGGGTATATCATTCATGAAAGAAGCTCTCTCCACGCTATTGAAGGCATTTTCCACGTCAATTTGAAGGACCACGTGCGAGCTATCCTTCTGTAGTAGTTCGCGGACAGAGTGGATGATACACTCCGCCCCGCCTTGTACGGCCACTTCGAACTGGACTGGTAGGAAGAAGTTTCGGATCGACGTTCCTAGCTCGCACAACGCCACTTTTGTTGCTTCCGGGTTGTTTGGCTCGCAAAGCTAAGATCGTCTCTGTCGTCGCTTTCGCCAGTGGGGTGGTGTGTAACGCTGCTACTGCCTTGGTCAGGTTGCCTTTTTGGACAAGACGCTCAGCTCCAACACATAGCCCTGTTGCAACGGGTTGGTGTCTCATTGGAGCGTAGGGGGTATGGTTATTGCTTCGGTGTAGTGGTTGTCCTACTTTCCCATCAAAACTTGTGCAACCGCACCTTGATTTTCGCCCACCAATTCCCTTGTGGATCCTGAGGTAGCGGGCGGCGTGCTAGCCTAGGTAGAAAAGGATAGTATGCGCCATGCACTGGGGCAATTTGGATATTTTGAGGGCCAAAGTAGTGGTGTTGTTAACGGGAAATGGCGCTTGGGCGAAGTCGACTTCGTAGTCGGATGCGCAAGAGGTGCAACCGACTAGCCGCAGAAGTCAACGTCGATCGCACGCAGAAGTTAATGACGACCGCACGCAGAAGTCGATGTCGACCGCGCTCAAAAGTCGATATCTACTGCCCGCTGAAGTTGACGCAAACTGCTCGCAGAAGTCAACGCCGACTTCTGGCAAAAGTCGACACCATCTGCTCGCAGAAGCCGACAAAGTTGACTCGTCGACGAGGTTGTGCGAAGGTGTTGGTCGAGTAGGCCTTTCTTGACTGGATGTGGTTGACATCGCCGGCAGAGGACGCTGAACGACGAGGCCCGTCAAGGAACGTTGGTCGACGGGCTCTGCTTGACGAGCTCGTCTCGGCAAAAGCTGTTCAACGGAGCGTCCATCGAACTGAGAAGAAACGAGAATGAATGAACTATGAAACAGTTGGGTACAAGTACTAACCCTAATTGGGTTGTACCCCTTATGGGCTACCCCACTACAGCCTACACAAATGCATAAGCTATAATGTTCTGACACACCCCCATAGGCAAAGTGGGGGAGAACAAGGGGTCACAAGACCAGTCAAGCAAAGCAAAGCAAAGCAAGCTCAGGGTGGATCACAACGTCACTACACATTCCGAGCACAAGTTCAAGGCCACAAGGCCAGTTCACATGCAGGAGTACATATATATATATAAGGCTAGACAAGCAAGAGCGGGTATATATAGATGTAACAGTACAAGCAAGGTCAAGAGGTGAGCAAGTGAGGCAAGACAGGGACGAGACCCAGCTGAGCGCAGAAGCGCTGATGATCACAAGGCGGAAGTGCCTTGGTGAAAACATCAGCAGTGTTGGCCTCAGAGGCCACGTACGCAAGCCGCAACTGTCCACGCTGCTGTAGCTCATGAGCAAGGAAGTAGCGGAGAGCAATGTGCTTTGTTCTGTGCTCAAGTCGCTGCTCTCGACACAAGGACAGCATGGCCTTGTTGTCTACGTACAGCACTGGAGGAGAACGAGGCGGCTCTCCGAGGTCAGTCAGCAGGTAGGTGAGCCAGCGAAGCTCCTGTGCAGCCATGACCCCAGCGTAGATCTCAGCCTCACAACTGGAGCCGAGAACAGAAGACGAGCGGGTAGGCCGCCACGAGACAGAGCCGGAACCAAGGCTGAAGGTGTAACCCTGTGACGACCGCTGCGTAGCCTGGTCGTCAGCCCAAGAAGCGTCTGCGTGCCCAGTGAGGACCACTGGACTGCGCCCTCCAAGCACTAGCCCCATGCCCGACGTACTGCACAAGTAGCGCAACACCCTCTTCGCTGCAGCCATATGCTCTGGTCGGTGTCTCCCAGGAGCAACATAGCATGCAAGAATGCTAAGAGGGTATGCAAGGTCAGGTCGTGTGCAGGTCATCAGGTACATGAGGCAGCCAACAAGCTCTGGATACGGGCCACTCGACTCTATGGACTCATCCAAAGGCAGAGCTGAGAGCGAGTGGCGAGTAGACAGAGGAGTGGCCTGAGGTGAGGAGTACGTGAAGCCGAAGCGCTGAAGGACCTGCTGCACCATGTGTGACTGAGTCAGGGTTATGGTGCGGCGCGCTCTGTCTCGGGTGATCTGCAAGCCAAGGTAGCTGCGCAGTTCACCCAGGTCAGTGCACGTATGTCTCTTCTGCAGCTCGGACTTCACGTAGGCGAGTCCAGCAGTGTCAGCTGTGGCAAAGACCAAGTCGTCGACGTACACAAGGATGTAGAACGGCGGCAGAGAGGTGTCGGTGCGTAGAAACAGCGACGGGTCGGCAGTAGAAGGAGCAAACCCAAGAGCCGCAAGCGTAGTCCTCAGTGTGTCGTGCCACTCACGTGGCGCCTGGCGGAGACCGTAGACTGGACGCCGGAGACTCCACTGGGTACCAGGAGGGAACGACCTAGTGAAGCCAGGTGGGCAGCGTAGCCAGATCTCCTCGTGTAGGCTGCCCTGCAAGAAAGCTGTGCTAAAGTCGAGAGAGTGCAGCTCGTAGTCACGGTGAGCAGCTATGTGCAGCAGTACCCGAAGAGTGGTCATCTTCGGGGTGGGAGAGAAGGCCTGAAATTAGTCAACTCCCTGCCGCTGACTGAAGCCACGAGCCACGTACCGTGCCTTGAAGACAGGCGGAGAGCACGGCGTCCGCTTTACCCTGAAGATCCACATGCCACTGACGATATTCGCCCCAGGCGGGGGAACCTCGTCAGCGTAGGTGCCTGTGGACTTCCAGGAAGCCATCTCTGTGTCCATAGCTGCCTGCCACTGAGAGGAGTAGGGTTCGCAGCCTCGCTAGCACCTAGAGCAGCAGCCTCACCAGTACCTAGAGCAGCAGTCTCAATGCCCGGGTCGGGCGGAAAACACCGGTAACATCACCCTCCTCACTAATAGTCACAGCATACATGGCAGCAAGAATAGCATCAAAGTCAAGGTCAAAGATAGCTACGCACGCCCTAGACAGCTCGCCCCCGCGAGGGATCTCAGTGGGATAGAGGGTCCCTACTCCTCTTAGTGGCAGGCAGCTATGGACACAGAGATGGCTTCTTGGAAGTCCACAGGCACCTACGTTGACGAGGTTCCCCCGCCTGGGGCGAACATCGTCAGTGGCATGTGGATTTTCATGGTGAAGCGGCCGCCAGGTTCTCCGCCTGTCTTCAAGGCGCGTTACGTGGCTCGTGGCTTCAGTCAGCGGCATGGAGTTGACTACTTTCAGACCTTCTCTCCCACCCCGAAGATGACCACTCTTCGGGTACTGCTGCACATAGCTGCTCAACGCGACTACGAGCTGCACTCTCTTGACTTCAGCACTGCTTTTTTGTAGGGCAGCCTGCACGAGGAGATCTGGCTGCGTCACCCACCTGGCTTCACTGGGTCTTTTCCTCCTGGCACCCAGTGGAGCCTCCGGCGGCCAGTCTACGGTCTCCGCCAGGCACGTCACACTGAGGACTACACTTGCGGCTCTTGGGTTTGCTCCCTCTACT